CATTTAGCAAATGTATCCATGCTCATTTAGGTAAGACCAGAATTACAGATTAATTAGACTTCAGCTGTTTGTAAGGAGCAAGCCACAAAAGGCAAACTTCCCTGGGTCAGCACTCTTTACAGTCGTACAAGCGGAGTGCTCAGTCTTCCAGTGCTTTACTTTCCCTTCCCCTGCATTCAGGATTGTTGACAATTTTCCAGCGTCAATAAGGTAGCCCTCCTGAAACATTAATGAAACTGGGATTGAAGGAACCCGAAAGTTGCATCTCAATTTCTTAGCTGAACTTCTGCATAGTACTTGTGCACTGTTTTTTTTTTCTTTTTTCTTCCCTCTCTAGCCAGGCGTCTCTTTGAAGGTGGAAGAAAATAGTTATTCCTAATGTTATCAACCAGTCAAACAGTCTGTTTTTTCTTTTTTATATTATCACTAGCTTTAGGCAAATAGAATTTTTTAATATTTCTAATTATTTACTTGTGGAGACATTTTATCATGCTCTCAGAGCACCTGGTTCACAGATGCCTATGCAGATAGTGTTACTAGAGTCCTGTAGCTTTAACATTTCATCTCTTCTGCAAGCATTTCCTGCCTGCTGCAGGACAAATTCCACCAAATATTACTCGGTTCATCTTTTTTCCTAAAAGGAGGTGTTTAACATTTCTAGAACTGCCTAAAATATGCTACTAGAATAGTGTCTATTGATATCCTGACTTAAAATAACTTGCTAGACAAACCAGAATCCTCTTTTTTTCCTCAGAGATTACAAGTTTGGTCGATAAATTAAATGCATTTGCACTGATACCTTTTTCTGAATATGAGATCAGAGAGGAGCATTTGGCAAAGTGTATCTTTCAGAACAGTTTTCCTGAAGAAGCATCATCTCCGGTCTGGGTAAATATGATAAATTTATGAATTTTTAAGGATTTTATATATTGCAGTTTTGATGATTAATGCAGCATAAAACCAGTTAACGTGCATGCTAACAGATTAAAGAGGAGGTATCTGACAGACTTGAAACAGTACTCAATGGGGAATAATCCCTGAACAGGGAATGTTCCTCGAGGTGTCCCGGTGGGGTTGACACTCAGCCTTGCATTTTTCAGCAGCGGAGCAAATGCACGGTCTTCCCTGTTTACGTTTGCAGGTGGCACGGGCGCTGGTGAAACGCGCGATGGCCACTCGTACGGATTGATCTGTATGATCTGTGAACAAGATGGGTCTTAACGCAGCCTGTGCAAGTTAACACCTAGAAGCACGGGCTGGAGGCCGTACCTACCTAACCAGGAACTGGCAGGTGGAGACTCTGCGTCGAGGAGGCTCTCTCGACCCCATGGGAGCTTGGCCTGAGGCTAAGGCGAGAAGGCTCAGCGTGGTCCTTGAATGCGTGGGCAAAGGACTAGTGGACGGAGGTGGAGGGTTGCTATTAACTCTGCAATAAGGCATTTGCGATGCTGCCTGCTTTGAACGCAGTGATTTAGCGTCAGTCTAGATGGCAGATGGCAGCGGAAAGAGCTTCAGACGCTTTAGATTTAGCTACCGCAACGAAGGGAGCTCGGGCACTGAGTTTGAACTGCCTTCTGAGTCTACGCAAACTTTCAGTAGTTACTGAAGCCGCAGGAGTATTTAAACAGTATGAGGGGAGCACTTTGCTCCTAAACAAAGCAACAGGTAAACGCTGGAGCAGAGACTCTTAGTATACTGGCACTAGTGACTTGTTTGCTAATAAGTGAAACTCTCTGGAATCAAAACGGGCTCTGTAAAACGTCTCAGGTTTTTGCACGTAAGCTGATGTGCTTCTGTCTGCTAACGGCGGTAATATGAAACAAACAGCATGTGTCAGGGAAAACATAACACTGACGTTTGGCCTAAGACAACTTTTTCTTGGCAAGTTTTGAAGTCTGAGCAACGTCTTTGCATGCCGTGGTAATTACTGATGGCGTTTCCCAGTGTGCTCGTACCTTCTGTTTTGTTGCCACCAAGCACGGTGCAGCTGACTACCACTGTTCGCACTCCTGGCTGGGCAACGTTTGGTATATGGGAAAACCTGAGATTCTCAGACTGTATGCGGAAGGTGGAGAATACGAAAGAACTTGTTAAAACGCCTGGGCAAAACGTTTTGGTTGGTTGAGGAGGAAGATAGAAGTTTTTGCTTCTGAAGCACATGGGCCTTGTGAACGTATAAAGAAAAAAGGTGTGTGTGGGGGGTCGGGGTCGGTTGGCTTGTTTTTTTTTTTTTTTGGCTTTTGACTAAGTAAGGAAGTGGGAAATAGTCTACATACCAAGAGAGAGAAGATTATTTTTAAAAACAGACACTTAATAGATCTGATTTTGTTGCAAATCTGATTTAAATGGCAAGATTTGCTATTTTGAGAGAACAGGTTCTCGCCAGTAACGTAGATAAAGCACATAAATGTAGTGCAGTCTTGTTTAACATAAAATTAAGATTATTAAGGGTATGGAGTTTGCAACTTTGAACATATATAAAACTATATATACATAATTCTGAATTTTGTTAAGAGTGTAACTGAGAAATAACAGGAAATGTTTTTTTCCTTTGAATAAGAAGCTTCACAACAAATTTTAACTCAAATATGAAGCACTCCTTCAATTCTCAACAAGGTGCTTGCTGTTTTTAAAAAAAAAAAAAAAAAAAAAGAAAGACTAGAATGATGCAGGAAGATCCACCTCCAGGAGGTTTCCCCATGCAGAAATTGGGGAAAAGAGCTGTAAAATCACTTTCATAGGCTCTCTCTGCAAATGGGAGCTCAAGCATGTGTAACTTGGGACTGGTCAGGGAGTTTATCAAGACCTGATCCTTGTTCAAAGTGAGACAACATTAGGGAAAAATAGTGTCACCATAAAATTAAGGACTCGCAACGCATACCCATTGGATAGTTTGGTTAAGGTTGCATGGGGAATATTAATCCTGACATTGGCAAACTTTTGAATGTTTAATTTTGCCATGTTAATGACGTTCATTTAGTGTATGTTTTCTCTACAGTATCTTGGAGAGATGTACTCGTGATCAGTTTGCATAGATAAATAGGACTTAAAAAGATAGATGTCTTTTTTTTTCCTCTGAATGACATTATAGCAAATATTTTTTAGAGAATAACTGGATTAAGCAGAATTGTCTCTTTATTAGACTGAAATAATGCTTTTGTTGCTTTCGTTTGTGTCACTAATATATTGCATTAAGAATAGATATGAATATTCTGAAGCACCTGCCTTTCCAGATCCACCAGCGTTCTCTTGCTGTGGTTTTCCAAGCAAGAAAACGCTTGTGTTCTTTCTTTCACAGCAAGAGAATGCTGTGGTTTTCTAAGTCCCAATTATTTTTGTCTCCAATGATCTATCAAATTCGTAATTAAAGAAAACTTAAATATTGCCAATTTATCTGCACATTTTGTATTCCTTAGAAAGTACGTAGATAGTATTTCTTTTATTGTGTCCTGCAACAAGGAATACTGAAGTTCATTTTTAGTCCATCTCGTATACAACAGAGCCTTTTTGGTGTTGCTTTCTTACTCCAGTCATCTTATTGCAGAAAATCAGAAATGCACAAACAGAAACAAATCCAGTATGAGCTGACCCTTTATTTTATTAGAGCAGGCTGTTCTGCAGGCATGTATAAAAACAATAATCAGTCATTAATAAGCACTGAACATTTGTAGTGAAGATCTGGTTCCAAGACCAAACCAATCTGAGCATCTTCAGTGGATTAATTGCTATGAGATCATATATCTCAGCTGCAGAAAGGCTAAATGGAAGTTTTAATGTGCTACAAGCCAGCTGCATCAATGTAACTTATTCCCTCTAGTCAAGCAACATCAATTTCAGAAGCAGCTATTATCCACACCCTTTCTTTTAGGCTTCTTTTTAAAATATTATAAATTGCTATTACAGAAGAATTGCAATTGGAAATGTTACTAATTAGTACCTTCCTTTTGAAAGCTAAGATGTTAAATTATTCCTAATTTATTATTGAATCCATTTAAAAAAAAATCAAATTCTAAAGCAACCCCTTCTTCTCTTTTCCCCTTAGAAGTCTATCTCCTCTCAGACCCTAATCTGAATGGCATTTGGCCCTGGATCTATACAAAGATACACGGCAAGAAGCGTATTCATTGCTGTAGAGATGTGCAACAGGAGCTCTTCAAAACACGTAACTCTCCCATTCGCGGCCTTCTTATGCAGCAGTATTATACAGTTCAGCTGCCTCAAGAGCCTCAATACTTTTAAAGAACAGTGTAGGATTTTCTCCTTTTCTTAATTAATTAAAAGGACCATCTGATAGAAGATGTAGCACACAATCGTAAATTAGTTTAGAGGATTTATCATGTGTAGCTTGCATGTATTCATAGACTGAAGAACAAAATTCTAATATTAAATGGGGTGTAATTTTTAAGGAGATCCATATTTAGTGTCAGAATCTGATGCTCAGTACACACTTAAACTGGCTTGTCTAATCCTTTGTAAATTCCCCTGCCAACATAACTAGATTTGTGCCACTACTTCCACCAGCATCTTTATTTCGGAGAATCCCAAGAGTGTTACCAGATCACTTTACACGTTGCCAGTGTAACGAATTTATCAAAACGCAGCAAGCCAGCGTGAGTTAGAGTAAAGCCAACGATACCACAAGTTACGCTGAGGGCCACTCTGGCCCTTCAGAGTGTCACTAGCCTGGGCAGCAGGAAGATGAGCTGATGGTTTGGGGACTTTAGTCAGCTGTGGCAACTGGAGTTGCGTAAAACACCTGAGCATCGGACCCTGCCTCCAAATTAGTTGCTGCACAAACGAACACGTGACTGCAAGTGCCACAATGCTGGGGGTTGGGGGAGTTTTCCACGCACATTTGTGTGACCGTTTCTATCGAATTAAAGAAACCATGGAAAATGTCAGCAAATTGAATCTGTAAATAAATAACTAACTTCTGTTTTTATTTTAACTCTTATAAGACATATTCCTAATGATAGAATAAGGAAAAAAAAAAAAGGATGTAATTTTTCCATATGTTTTATTGACAGATATTTAGAACATCAGTTTTATTAAAATAGATTAAAATCTGTTGATATACATTTGTTATTGTAAGAAAAAACAGCGCGTTATGGTGTCAAATTCAGGTTAACTTTAGGATTGCTACCTTTGAAAGCCAAAGTGTATTAAGGCACAAGAGTGGTAACAGAGATTTTTTTTTCAGGACAGAAAAAGCAAATTTTAACTTAGTGCAAATGACGTAGCATCCCCCTGAGGTGGTCACAGACATCCAGATCTGTCTGACAACTAAAAGGCATTGGCAGTGGAAAAGTTTTGGCTAAAGAAGGCACTGAATCAATGCATCCCACTTCCGGGTTCCATTAGGGGAAGTACTGACATAGTTGGAGGTGCTACTATGGTCTCGTGCAGGGCTGTGAAATTTCTACTTCCTTAGCTGCCACAAAAATAACGTTGGCCAAATACTAGTGGTTAACAGTCAAGACTTAACCGGTGCAACTGGCTTGGAAGTTAACTGTTGAAAAGATGTAAAGTAGAGAGCTGATTTGCCATTGCCATAGTTTCCAGTGTTGCTAATAAAGCCTTCGTCTGTTCTCCAGAAAAAGCAATCATGTGTGCAGATATTTCTTGAAGAAACTGTGGAAGCTTTTGAAAAGTTTCTAATTCTCTCAGATATGTATCTACTAACCAATCGGCAGAAAATATATTTTTCAACTTGGAGTCGTCACTAGCCATTACTGGAAGTGTATTTGAAGAGGCTACCTCTCCGAGAGCTAACGTAAAGGGTGAAGACAGATTATAAACTGAACAAAAATTTAGCAGCATCTTATTAAATAAAATTAACCACAGTTCTATCTGCTGACTGTGGAAGTCCTGTTCTGTGCGTTCATAGAAGTTTTCAATTGTCTCTTCTGGATGAACAATATTCAAAAGTTCTTGTTTTACTGGTAGGGACTCAACGTAATCCAGTGGCAATTTTCCATTGGAGTCCCTCTGCTGTAGAAGCACTGGTCCTGCAGGAAAAACAAACGTTAGTAACAACAGCATATTCAGTTTGGCAGTTGATTTTTGGTTTGTTTTTTGCCAGTAGCAAGGTGTCCGTTTAAATTCCTTTTTGTACAAAGTTATGTTGATGCAACTGATGGGTCACATATTTACAATACAATCTAGAAAAAAAGAACCTTTAGAACAGTTTCTTCATGATTTTTTTGCCTTAATTTTCTTACTGATTTTGCTAGGTTGAAAGATGAATGTTATTCCATAGCAATGGAAAAGAGATTCAATTGTGTCTTATCCTAAAATTTCAAGTAGCAATATATAGAAAATGTAAAAATAGTGTGTTACTGCTGATGTCAAATTTCATTAAGCATTTTACAGGCCACTATATTTGCTGAAACGGACCCCAAATTATAGGGATTTGATTACGATGGTCTTTATTTGCCTTTCTGGATGGTGTGGCTGACCTTGTGCTAGGCTGTGAAGCAAGACAAACTGTTGGGGCAGGAATCCTAGCCTCCCTCAACAACTAAGTTACGAAATTTGTTCCTAGCAAATTTCTGAAATGAAAAGTTAAATACAATAATAAATAGACATAAAGTAACTGAATGGGAATGTTTAACTTGTTCAGATTATACTAGATTCTTTTTAGTATCTTCTGTTTATTAGTACGATGGAGCTATTAATATTTAAACAGTGTGCAGATGTCTTAAGTTCATGAAATGCTACACCAGTTTAAAAAAAAAAGGGAGTTAACACACTACAGGTGGTAACAAGAACAGAACAAAAATTGTCTTATGTAAATTTGGGATAAAGCAATAATGCAATTTTATAACTTGAATATATTTTCAAAAATATATTTTAATTACAAGAGGCATTTCACCACATTTCCCATTACTAGAGTGTGATTACAGCAGTACTGTTTTAATCCATCACTGATTATGTAAAATAACTTTTGCAAGTTGAAGCTTTTTTAGAGGGGGGGGGGGAAGTAGAAAGCTATTGCAGAGATGTACTCTAAGTTATTGTCGCACTGAACGTGTAACACACTTCCTACCATAGCATTGTCAGCTATTTGACAGGCCAAAACCCAGAGTGTGACAAAGGCAAGGATAAGGGTACGTGCAGCTTGTAGAGTTGCCAGAAAACCTTGATGAATGCAAGTGCAAGTAGATCTCTTCCCCTAGGACAACAGGATTGTTCACTGCCTATTCTTCACAACAGCCCAGGAAAAACGCACATCTGTCAGGGCAATGCCACTTTCAGTTGAGGAGCTGGGCTTAATATTGGCTATTGCATCACTTAGACCGATTGAAATCAGCCCAGGTATTGGCTTGGCATGTCAGATACGTGGTTCAGTGGATACAGAAAACACCTGGGAGCCACAGAACTGAAGCTCGGCAAACACAGAGGTAGAACTGCAGAGGAACGTATTGATTATGAGATGGTGCTTGTACAACAGACACAGAAATTGCCTTTAGGGGGCAGGAGAAGACTGCAAATACAGAGATCTTCTGCCAGGAATGAAATAAAATTTTGTTCCTCTAGCTTAATTAAGTAATAGGCCATCTAAATACAGTGCATTCTTTTGCCTTATGGCTGAAAGCAGAATGAATTTTTTTTGAAAAGTTTTGGACTCCAGATACAATGCACAGAGATTAAATTGACGCAGTAGGTCAGCGGCAAGGATATTACAAATTTTAGTAAATGAATAAAAGTGGGCAGAATTGATATCCAAGTCCATTCTCTGCAGCTGCTTTTTTAAAATGTTATGTTAATTATATTGATACAGTGTATTTCAAGACAAGATACATGTTCCCTGTCACTGAAGGAAAAATATTGTTCAAAACATTTATCACGTGTCTGCCTAATGGGCAATGTATCTTTTTTTAGAAACTAAGGCATCCCTCCCGCTATTATCCCTAAACAGCAGTTATCACAATTACAATATAGAGTCCTTTCTTAAACTAATTACTAAGCTAATTGTGTTCTTCAAAGACCATCACATTAATTTTCATAAATGCTGAACAAATTTATGTTGAAATACATGATTATATAGAGATTTACCGATCTATTTTTGCAAGCTATGGTAAAAATAGATCAAAACAAAAGAAAATCCTTAGCACTGCTTGGTGACTAGGTAATCTTTATCTTCATTAATGAGTTTGGAGAATATAGTTACAATACATATGGTGGAAAATGCAGAATAAAAACATTACCATATTGGAAAAAAATGTGAAAATCCTGGTTAATTTCATATTCAGCTGATCAAGATAAGTGTGAAAACAGTAATATTTTTATTGTGACCAAAACAGCTTGGCTTAAAAATGTTTTAAAATAAATATTTTATAATAACATTGTATTTTAAGCAGCTATTAAGAAAAACAGTACGGACTTCGTATGGACTCGGAACAGTGGATAATTTCCCTAAACCAGTTTAGCATAAATGCACTCACCCCCACGCTGAAGTAGCAGCTTGCCAATTTCTACATGTCCGTTTGACAGTGCATCATGCAAAGGAGTCACCCCGTCCACTTGACTGAGCAGGTCTACCTCTGGACAGCGTTGCAAAATTTCACGGACACACACTGTGCTGCCATGGTTACAGGCTTCATGCAAAGGCGTCCAGCCAGCATAGTCTGAATTATAAATCAAGGGAAGTTTTAAAACAGCAGAAGTAGTAGTAAAATGTTAATAATGTAATTCATTAGACAGCAAAACACTTTATTTTTTAATATGCACTACTGTTACAATGGCAATTTGTGATTTCAAGAAGGAAATTTGATTGAAAAACATTTGAAAAAAATTAAATGTAATTTTTTTTAATCGGAAGAAAACGCAATGAGTGTTACCACGTGCTTTAGTTAGAAATTAGGCTTTCATCATTTTACTTTTAAAGTCCTGATTTTGTGTTATCTAAAATAATTAAGACAATTTTCATGCTATATAAGCAAATTTTATTTTCAAATAGGTATTATTACAGTTCTTTACCTGGCTTAATTTTTCAGTTCTGTAGAGAAAATGAAGAACTTACCTTTAACATTAATGTCTGTTCCAGGGGAAGAGAGAAGCTGAATCAATCTCTCCACTTTGTTTCTTATGCAAGCTTTATGCAGGGCTGTCTCTCCTACCATAAAAAATTAATAGATTACACTAGACTAGGCAAGATAGCAACTAAAGAAAATAATCAAAGTGCATGGAACTAGGAGACCTGGCTATATGCCAGAAAATTCAATAATGAGTAAGATTTTCCTTTGTCCTGTTTAACCATCTTTTAAGAAAATTCAAAAAACCCACAGAGCTTCTGTTCCACCAGAGATCCAGCAATGAAATTGTACTGCAAAAGGTTTAACACAGGAATTATCTCCCCCCAGTTCAAGGTTTAAAGCTTCAATCACACTATAAAAGCACCAAGTGATCACAGAACACCAAAAATACTGGGTTTTGAAGCAATAAAACTTTAGAGTGCAGTTGCCCTCCCTTAAATTTATTCATGAACCTACGTTAAAATGTATGGTTCTTTTTACACAGCATTTATAGCTTAATTCAAATGAATGTTTCTGGCTAAGCACGAGTGCCTCTACACACTCAAGTATAATTCAGAACTTCAAATCCGTTAACAGATGGTTTGCTGTTTCTCAATAGGCTGTCTGACTTGGCTACAGGAGCAAGGGAGGGGGGAAAGAGAGAGAAATAAATGAAGGGGTCTTAATAAAAAAGAAAAGAAAATCCTCTGGAAAAAAATCCCAAGTCTTAGTATCGTGTAAAGCTGAAGTAAGTGTGGTAAAATTGAACAGTAAGCAACTGAGAACTGCTGTTTACAGGTAAAGATACCATTAGTCTCTGCATGATTAAAAACTTCAGACCCATTCTAAATGCTATTTTGCTTTTACTAAGTGACTAGGTTTGAACAACAGCCAGAGGAAAATCTTGATGCCAGGTGAAAGATGACGCAACGAACATCTTAGAAATGAAAAATATCTCGGGCTAAATCTCTCAGCCTTTGTGATAAGATTAACATGGTATATTTTGTTATATTAATACTTTCACTGTGTAAATCTGTCAGCTCCATACTCATTCTTTTCAACAGAAGATACTACTTATGATTTTGGCAGGGGAAGAATAGGGTTGGCAGAAGTTTTTTTTTTTTTTTTTTTTTTGCCCTAGTCCTTCAGCTCACTTTTCTTTGTAAAAGTCAGCATGTAATAATTCACATCAATTTTACTTGCAAAAGCAATAAAGAGAAAAGGAACCAATTTTAAAAATGCATGGTCTGGCTCCGTTACTGAAGCTCGCTTAAATCCCAAAAGAGGGTGAGGTTTTATGTTCTTCGGTGTTTGTGACACAACTCTGATTATAATTTTTTGAACGCTCATAGCTTTCTTTTTGCCAGTTTTTTCTAAGCCCTCTCATGGGTGTCATTATTAATATAGTTGTGTTTTAAATGATGTAGGTAAATTGCTGACGATGATGATAAAAAGTAGTTCCAGCAAGTAATTCTGTTCAGGTAAAGCCTTATGTAAAGTATGTTTTATTACATTTGTCTAATAAGTGGGACCCAAATAAATTACTGCAGTGCTGTTTTATTCCTTAGGTACTTGGGTTCCAGTATAGCTAAGACAAAAGCCAAATGCCTTTCATAGTCTGGGCTGAATGCCTAGAAGAAAACAGTCCATATGCTTAACACAGCTATGTAACATAGCATACTCCTCAGTCTTTGTTCACAAAATGTCTAGGACTGAAAGAGATGAAGACTGAATTATACTTTCAAATCAGAAGACGTTGATCCTACCAAGCACAGGTTGAGGTGGATTAGCAAAGTAAGGCCGGCAAGACTGGAATGAGCTCACACAAGCTGTATACTGTATTTAATATCTGGGGGGGAGGGGAATGAAGAAGGCAGCTTTATTCCACCATATATACAATTCTTCCTTTCAAACAGATATTGAAAAAAAGAAACACGAACCACAAGAAAGAATTTCTTGGTCGTAAGTGGTCATTGTAGTTCAGCATTCATCAGGACAAGATTTTTAAACCTGAAACTGTTGATTCTACCCGTTTAAAGTTCTTAACATAAATTAGATGAATAGAATACCTTTAATATTAGTCTTGTAAAAATGTACCCCTTCAGCCAAAAGGTAACAATTCTCTTTGGTGTACGAAACCTCCAATTCTGCTTTTGTTTTAAGCTTCTTCATCAATGGAGGGCGCTCATTAAAGAATAACTCACTGAAAAGACAGCAAAGTGGACACATGTCGAAAATTGCATTTTAAGATAATGTATATGTACTTAATACTGTTACAACATGCAAATGTCATACTTAGATCTATGCATTTCAGAGTTATCTCTGAAATATCTTAATCGTGTCCTTTCAGAGTCTTTTAATTGTATTAAAAATAGTAATAAATTTCCCACAATTAAACTTTTTTAAAGGTAATTCTATGAATGGTTTAACCCCTCTGTGTCTCCATTAAATTTAATATTGGGAAAATATATCAGTCCGCATATATGGAGGATGAGGGGCAAGGGGGAACCCCAGCCCAGAAGTGTTGCAGGTTCACAATGGAGCTTTCTGTCAGTCTCGGTAATTTGTAGACAACAAAACAGGTCACATAAAGTTCAAGAAATGTGTCAGGTCAGAAGCTGTCCCCCAAAGCAGAATAAAACTGGTGATGTTATAGGTATTACTTACGGTAGATCAGGCAGCACTTCGACTTGGTTCTGCTTATCACCATTTAGCATCAGTAATGCCCTCTGAGACTTGGGGCATGACCACTGCCCTATTTTCTTTTTCTTTGCTTTCTCCTTCCTTGTCTCACGCATCCCTACCTCCCCTAAAGCAGGCAAATAGGAACAGACCTGTTGCAAAAGTAACGTTATCAATGACCGTGTATACAGGAAATTAAAACGTAGTCAGTTTCTTTTGTTGCACTTTATCTTTACGTAAAGTAGTCATGCACCACCCACAGATTGCTGTATCTAAGTTTTTTAAAATATGATCCCTAAATGATGTTCGTGCATATAGATTTTTTTTAAAGTTGTCTTCTGCCATTTTTTTTTTTAGATTTCTGTATTAATGTACTTTGCTCAATATTTCACCCTTGCATACTGGCCTCAGAAGTAAGTGGGCTTTGTCTGAGCCAGAAAGAGGGAAATTCTAGGCCTCGCTCTTGGGATTTTTGGGTAGCTGAGAAAATCTTGATCTGTTGAGGTAGACAGCTGTAGTTCTACAGCAAAGCTAATTGATTCTCAGAGGCTTAATGGCAGCATTTACCAGCTTTTCTGCTCCAAACCCAGGGAGCAATTTGGCAAAGAAATACCACTCTCCTAAGATGAGGGGTGGACTAAGCCTGCGGGCCTTGTGTAGACAATAAGTGAGTTACCTCTTAGGTGCTCTCTCACTGTTAGGATAACCTAGGATGTTGCAGATGTTTTGGCTTCTTTCCAGTAGTTCAGAGGTTCCAATCCACCTATATCCCTCTCTTTAAATAGTCACATAAGTTGTTCCAGTTTGGCAAAAGCACGGGAAATAGTTCAGTAAGGAGACTCATTCAATGATTATCCAGACGTGGAAGCAGATTACATGTTAGCATGTCTAAAGAAAGATACTTAGAGAAGGCTTTGACTATCTAACAGATCAGAGTCTGCAAGCTACTTGCAATTGGTGAGAGACCCCTTACTTGTGCCCTCACTGTATATAATCACCAACTGAGAGTAGGAGGGTGCTTTCTGTAGAAAGCTTAGCTGACAAGATGCTATGTGAGGAGAGCTGGCAAAATTGACTCAGTTGGTATTTACTGTATGGAACAAGAAAAAGGTAATTGTAAAGCCAAGGAAAGCCATAAAAGGCACAAGAACTTGTTTTAAGCACTACACAAATTTTTCATTTAATTTGTTGCAGAGACTGACTGATAGCGATGGCAACATCAAAATTAGCCATTGCTACTGTGCGTGTGTTGACAACATGTTAAATGTTAGATATACAGTTGTTTTATTTTTACAGTTCTGGTAAGTCTTTTGTTCAAGCTGTGGTTAAATATAGCGTGTGACATATAATGATCTTTGTTCATAATAGGCTCCTGTAACATTCAGGCAAACCTCTGTTTAGAAAATGTATGAAAGTGTGAAGTTGTCTGGCTTTGATTTCACCTGTAGAATTTTAGGTCATACAGAAACAGTGATGGATTCCATATAGTGGCTACTCATTAGTATTAAGTTACTGAAGTGCAGCTCTAAGTCAGGGCATATCATTACCGTGTCCTCTCCCCGATTTGTCTGTATCCTTCTAGCAGTCATGCTTTTGAGAATTTCTTTCACAGTTTTCATCATGTGTATTTCCTCATCAACTATCATAAATTGTGATTTGAAGGCAAGAAAAGGTTTGCAAGTAGGAGAAAATTTTTAAGAAAAGAAATTTACAGGAATTCACTGTGGTTCAGGATTATAAAATCTTATATCAAACAACTGCCTGCACATAGCAGAATAATAGAAAATCACCTCTTTAAAAAATCTGAAGGGAAAAAAAAAAACCCAAAGTAAATCAAGCAACATTTGGCATTTTCCTTAACTACAAATGTAATATCGCAATGAAGTATTTACATCAAAGATAATTTTTAGAAGTTTTCATTGTGACTTGTCATGTTACCTGTATGTAAACAGGTTGATTTGTACAGGTACTACAGATTCTCTGGCAAGAAAAATTTTAGCATGGTTTTGAACCTTGATCTCAGGTTAAAAAAAAATTTAAAAGTGGAAGAGTTTATGTTCATGTAGAGTAAGATGTATGCAACGAGCATGACCTTAAACCATAACAAAAGATGTTTTTCAAGGCTCTTTCATGACAGTATTACTTGTTGCATACTTAAGTGTGCTAGGTTATTATGAAGTACAAGAGTTACTCACTATTTTCTGAAGAGAAAGAGGTTCTGTAGAAATAGGTATATTCCTCTGTAAACATGTTTTTTTAAAAACTGCTTCTGCAACAAACATTTGAAGCCAGAGGGATGGTATGGAACAAATGAACATTTTTAATTCATGTATTGAAAAGTCTGGATAAAAGCAAAGGGGAAAAGAGGCCTTAGAATCAGAGTATGTTATCCATCATCTTATAACAAGTCCAGTTGCTGAAAAATGCTCATCAGATTTTAAAAGGCAAAACACTGCTTATAACAATGAATCTTTTTAAAATGCTCTAAGTATAATCATATAAAAGTTGCACCATGATTTTGAGAAGGAAATTATTTATTTGGGGGTTATGTAAGTGATCATCTTGAAAATTTAATTGAAACAATGCAAATACAATTCAGATAAAATGTATGTAATGTGAACAAAGAAATCAGCATAATGCAGGTTGATCTATAAATTCTACACAAAAAGTGACATTAAGCAAATTTCAGCACAATTCTGATGTTCCAAATACTTCATATTGTTTAAAAAAAAGAAATACACACACACACACACACGCGCGCGACAGACTACTGCAGAAGAATGTGGGCCTATGTCAGGCTTATGTCTGGCATACTTCACTTTTTTTTTTAGGAGACAGAATGGCTGTTTTTTCTTAGGCTGATCTTTGTATTTTGATTCTAGCAAAAGATTTTGTCAAAATAGTCACTGAAACAGGTGGAAAGCAAGGTCCGCCAAGTGAGGAAAGTCTTTACTATATTGAGGGAGTATTCTGTTCTGTTGAGAACTGCTCCCTCTGTAACTGATCTATAGACTCAATTAAAATAGAAGAACAGGATTTAAAAGTACAGATGTTTTCTCCTGTATGGTTAACAGAATCTTAGGAGAAGAATTCTGCAATAGTTTTTTGGGCTTTAAGTGCTGTGGACTGAACTAAGTGGCAGAGATCATCAGTAAGTCAAAGAATCTTTGTAACCAGACTATGATTGTTATTTTTGTGAATGCTCTGAATGGGTGAAGGACAGCATAAAGAGTATCATTTTCCATTTCTGAACAGGCAAGTGAGAAAGTCTTACTAGAATATATATACAAGATTCTCCCTAGTTTATTAAAGCTAGAAAATCCTTTGGAGAGGTTGCAACAGTTGTAGATACTAAAGGCTCCATTCAGCTATAAAGTTCCAACTGGTTTGGCCTTTTAAGATCTAAAGCAGGCTATAATGCTTCAGATCATTTTCTTTTTGTGAAACGAGCGTACAACTATTTGTCTAGGGACTAAGACTTTAGCTGAATGTTTTCAGTACAGTTCTTGTCATGTTTCCAGGCAGGAGAAGCCAACAACTCTTTATATGAAGCCTGCACCTGTCGCTAGAGAAAATGATGATCGAGACCAGGATACCCAGAGGGCGTAATAGCTGAATCACAGTCTCTCCCCCTAGTTTCTAATTAAAAAAAAAAAAAAAAAAAAGCTTTGGTGGAAATTAAGTTTGAAAATGAAATAAAAACCATTTAGCTGTTTTCTTGACATGATTTTTTTGGTCGTCTTAGTTTCCTCTTCCCCTAGTTGCTGAAAGGTCAGATACCCCAACAGATATTTCCTGTTGGATGATAATGGCTCACTTGGGTTGTGGCATTCTTATTTATCTAGCCTATTTAATGAACAGGAGGAATAGCGATACAATTTTCATATCACTCCCCCTCCCCAAATTTTTTGGCTAGCAATCTAAGGATTTGGAATGGGATACTGACATGTTTCCATTTGAAGTCTGTGTGGGTCAAAGAGTTCAGGTTGACTTTTGGACTTACTGCTGAAGTGTCCTTAACAAATAAGATCAAGTTTGTTGAGTGAAAAACTAAAGTCTGAGAATTGGCCTAAGCTAAGGTGTCTCCAGTTGTCTCTCTGAAGCTATGACCTATTACGATATGCTTAAATTTCTTTCTAAACTGAAAACTGAGCTCCATAGAACTTGTATTTTATTTCTTGTTCACACTGTATAATCTTGATTTCACATTAAAACTTATTAAGATGTATTTAGCTGAATGTTAAAAGGAAAGCCTGTTCTACTTGGTCTTTGCTTCAGACAAACAGATGCACACACGCACTCACACACAGAAAATGAAACAGTTTCCTGGACAAATACACATCACACCATGAGACTGCATGGCTGCAACAGAAGGTAAAATATGACCTGACTGTAAATCAAGGATTTTAGTTAGACTTTAATGTATCTGATTAAAAGGTTTTGAGATGCATTTCAAACACTCACCATCACATGAAATGGCAATGTAATGTGCCAAATCATCAGCTACTTGACGAAACACGTTTCTGTTCATAAGGAAACCTGAGAGGATCCAATATTCCACTACAGTTCCAAGAATTGCATTTAATAGATTAGCTATTTCACTTCTGAAAGCCTAAAAGGAAGAAAAAGAACATTTATACACCGGTACTATATAACAAATTCACACTGACAATAGAAATAATAATAGAGAATATCTTTAGATAAAATCCTTCTGTATTGCCAAATCATTTCTTCACTGGCTTTTCTTTTTTCTATTCAAAAGCTAGCTCTTGCATCCTGGTCAATAACTTTAATATGCCATTGATGCCATATCAATTAAGATTTGGCACTGGAGAAATACAAATTATTTGGAAACATATACTCTAAAACAAATAACCATGTAAATACAAAATGGGATCAATGCTTAGAAGTACAAAAGGCTTTCTTTTTGAATTATGTTTTGTTTAACTGTAGGAGTTCAAGTACTGCATTTATGCTAGTTAACCTTTTGTTTTGCTTTGCTGTTATTGAGATCTGATTCTCCCCCCTCTATTAGGATTCTCTTTACCCAAAGATATCATCGCAAAACTGAGGGCCCTGCTATGACTAACTGTGTACACTGGTGCCAAAAGAAAAGGATGCAAGGTGCTACTCCCTGTTCTGAAAAACTTTGACAACCAATATTTGGGAGCAGGAAACTTTTTTGTGCTATTAAAAATTCCAGCCACACTAGCAGCTGCATATTCAGAATAAACAAAGCATGGACATTAGCCTTATTCTTTTCTCTCCTGAACCTGCACAAAATTGCCATGTGCAGATAAAGAAATCATGGAGTATATTCTTAAGGAGGTATCAAGACAATATACAGCTCTTTCTTTAACATGCCATCCAGCAAGTATTGTGAGATAGAGCAAACATAACGTTTATTCACCAGCGGTAGCATTTCACTTAATACCGGCTGGGTAAAGCACCACTGCTACTCTCAGGGTTAGTCCATTCAAAAGTAAGTCAGATCTCTCTACACAACGCTTTCGTGTGCCATGTAGAAATATTTTATGCAATGATTCTGAAATAAGTTATTCCTCTGATGACATGTGCAGCCACAGCAAAGTCACAAAATTTGTATGTAGTTCAGAAAGACGTATAAGCTGGAAGAATATATGCACACCCAGTGGCAATACATGAAAGTTAGCTGCCAAAAGCCACCTACCTAAGGTTCCACTGGAAAATCACTACTGGGACACACAGCCCCTATACTCTCTGCTAAATCCTACTACACGTTCTTGTAGAAGAGAAGGTATGCTTGGACATATTGGACAATGGAAAATTTTGGACAAGAGGCAGAACTGAATAAGTACTTATCTTTCAACTTGAGGCTTTAAAGAATTACTTACAGGGAACACAACTGTCCTGTCTTCGTTGTGCTCTAATACCACAATCACTTGTTTTTCTGATATTCCTTTGACAACAAAATATGTTCAAAGATCAGCTTGAAATAATTTAATAGGATTCCCTCAGGAGCTGGGAAGCACCAATGACTGAAATAGTTTGAGTTTCATCAATAAATCAAATAGACATATATAAGAGCCACAGACACCATGGCATAGTTGAGATTTATTATAGAAAGACTACAAAATCATTTGTGGAAGGCCTACATAAATACTATCCATATATTTAACGGTGACAATAGACTTTGTCATTCAAAAGAAAAAGAATAAACGTACCTACAAATAAGCAGATTGCCTGGGGAGGCTGTGGAATCTCCATCATTGAAGGTTTTTAAGAACTGGTTAGACAAACATCTGTTAGGAATGGCTCTGGGCTGGATAGTCTGGATGATATTTAAGACCCCTTCCAGCTGTACTTTCTGTTATTCTGTATAACCCTTGGACTGATTTAGTTTGCCCCTCTCTTTACTATATCCTAATACTTCATTTTGGATGAATTGTAGGATCTCATAAAAACAACTAAGAACATTGATATGATAGGTCAGCAATATTTAAATCCATTTTTTCAACTAATGTATTAGATATTTTAAAATCTGTATCACTCCCTACCTTGTGAAGATTCAGGAACAGAAAGTGAAGAAATAATTTGAAACGCATTTAAATTTCTTTAAGTATGCATACCTCCTTGGCCATTCAACCCCAAAGCAAAATACTGGTGAATAATTTAATCCTGCCAATACTTCTTCAGAGTAAAAAAATCACACAAATGTAGCAAATATGAATTTTAACAGAGGCAAGTGACAGGATCAAGGTCATACAGATATAGTTTCAGGTAGATATGGATGTTCTGAGGTAGATATAGATGTAGAGCCCAACTATTAAAATTCTTTTTCTTGATTTTCAATCACTAGATTGCCTTATTTGATCTATGAAATATTTACAAGGAGGGGGAGGAAAAAAAATGACCTTGAGGCATTAGATTGAAGTAACTACTGAAAATACAGCAAGTATTAATGATGTTTCACAAAGTCAGAAATATAGCTGCAGACCAAATCTGGCTGATATCCAAGTTGCAACTATGTCTGCACAGTTGAATATCTCTACGCACTGACAAGGACAGCCCAGATAATGCCAACTGGCATAGGCTTAGTTGGTTGATGTTATGATAAAACAACCGTAGTATAAACAAGAGCGTCTCCTTAATATCTTGAAATAAATGGCTCAATGTCACGAATAAGGGGAAAATGCTCTAATTTACTGAATGCAGTAGCTATCTAAAAAATATTAAGATATTAATTTTTTTTTTTAAATACAAAGCAATAGAAACAGAGGAATAAAAAGGCATGCAATATTAAAAAGGAAAACAAAGAAAACTTTTCCATTAAGCATAGGAATTGCTACCATGTTGATAAAACAACGCTGTGCGCATAAATAGCCCCTGCTATTCAACTAAGGTGGTTAACGCTAAAAGTCTGTTCTATTGTTTTTCAACTCTACTGCTTTCTGTTTTACAGCTCTATTTTTTCAGAAATTTAATTAGTATTTTTAACTACAAACTAAAATAAAGGAAAAAATATCAACAAACGAAAAAAATTTCAGTGACAGTATTTTTAGATTGCAAGACTAAAGTCTTATGAAGCTAAGTGATCTCTGTATGTCAATCAGCAATAAAATCATTTATAGGAGCTAATTGATTTCTTGTTTGCATACAAAAGCAATATTCAGAAAGTTACACAAATACTTTTAGGTTGTTAGGTTGCAAATAATAAGTTACTCATATAAATGATGAGTTGCTATTGTATTAACAGATGCAATTTCAGATTAAGTGAAAACCTTGCTAAAAGAGAAGTTTTTGTTTACACTATCATTTAGATAAATTGTCAAGACTATTAGTCACTGGAACATGAGATTTCAATCAACTAAAACTGAGAATATTCAGAAACTAGTGATTTTGTCCCTACGGTTTACTACTATGTCTAATCTTTACCTTTACTCAAACTTGGTATGAAGCAAATAAAATTTTAATAGTTTGTTTCTTTATAAGACAGCAAAGTACAACATAATTCTTGTAGCTATATTAAGAAAGTATTCAATTCTCTTCTCCCCCATAAATAATTTATTTTTAAGAAATCCTAAAGAATAGCGTATTACTGTAAAATGTAGTACTTCATGCATTAAGAGTCTTAAAATCATGCGAAATTACTCTTTCAAACAATATGCAATCATAACAAATTAACCGGGATCCAATTTACCATTTTTTCAAAACTGTCTTCCTTGCTCCTATTGTTGAGAATCAAAGCTATCGTCTCACAGAGAGAAGTGCTGAAGCGAGAAGAGGTTGTTGACTGTTTTACCATACAAGAGTCATAGCAGCAAAACTGATGTCTGCTAGCTTAGCAAATGCAATTCCTTGATGGCTGTTTCATTTAACGTTTTCTAAAGTCAAGTACAGTGCTCCAGTGATACACGTTTTGCAAATTGTTTTACTGCACATAAAAGTTTTCATAAGAAAGCTTTTAATTCACAGAAAAGTTCATTTTAACTTTCTGAGTTTGAATTACAAAATACACCTTATAGAACTGTTTTTTTATGTGGGCATCCAATTTCCTATCACTAATTTTATTCTGGTACTTTCAAGATAAAGTAAATCCTACCTAACACAAGAAAGTAAATGCACCCAGAAATAGAACTATTCATTTCTTTATAGTCCTTCATTCTTTTCTGTAGCTTTGTTTCTGATACAGGTTATTATAGACCTGAAAAATCAAATTTATTTAAGCCAGGAAAACCAATAAACCTACCTCAGCATTTCACCATGGAGCTTCTAACTTAGGATATTATAACTGTTTCTGACTTGCTCCTTTTTTTTTTTTAAACCTTTTCCCCTCTTCCCCTGTACCAGTGCTGACTTGTTGCAATCTCTTTGATTCATATAAAAGGAGAAACTGCTCATCTGATTCTAAATAGCTAAAATAAAAATTGCCCACTTCTATCACTTATATGAGAATGTGTTAGATATGATTGAAAAAGCATTTCATGAAATTATTTTTCTATTTTTATTCACAGATAGTTTCACGGGAGACTTGGAGAAAAATTCAGCATATCACAATTAACATATTTGTTTGTTCCCTCAAGTTAAGCTTCTGTAGGCTGTGAAACAGGGTCACCTCTTTACACTGTACTACGAAATCCTTTATTTCTGTCCCTATACAGTCAGTGGGAATGCCTAAGTAGCTCCTTTAATTCAGGTTTCTGAGTCGCGTTACATGTATATTGTCAATGTGTTGCTTCTTAAATAAACAGATTTTAACAAGCAAAACTGGTAACAATTCATCATATACCTAAACTGAATGAAGGAAGGAAAATTTTGCATCCGATATGCCATACTTAATGGCATAGAAATACTCTGGTTTTATTTATACATTTCTAAAATAATAACCTAACAGATCGGTCTACATAGTTGGGGAGGATCTACTCCTGTGGCTTTTGAATAACCTTTTCAACTATATCCCGGAATTTTAAACTGAGTCTCTTGATGATATATATTGAAAAATCAATATTTCAGCTTTTCGTATACCAAACTTGAGAGTGCAGAAAGCGATAATGACAAGTTTTGCTGGTGGAAAATATAGTGAGTATTTTGTTTCAGAGTTTACTTGTGCCAAAAATGCAAGGGGAAAAAAATGCAATATATAAATATGAAGCTAAAGAATAAAGCTGTAAGAACGAACATACAAAATAACAGATATTATCAGGCAACAATACAATGGGGCTGCATTTTAAGGCTAGAATTCCTAGCTGCAGGGATATTATACACTGTAGCGTGTAAGATGAAACTGGAATAAAAGCAATAGGAATCTTGGGTTTGTGCTGAAAGGACAATTATATATGTATGTATGTATGTATACACATATATATGTATGTGTATGTATAGGTATATAAAATCTAAAGAAGAGACGTTTCTGTGCACTTTATGTTGTGTTTTACTCTTTCTGCAAGTTTACTTTTCATATACTTTGTACTTTATCTGCCGCAAGTGATTATTCTGCTTATGCAAAGAGCAGTTTATGAAACAGGTATCGTCTACAGTGCTGGAGCTTGTCAAAAGAAGAGATGATAGAAAAAATAAAATGGTGCCTAAATTTAAACTGCAGACTCAACACCAGGAAACACTTGAAAGCAGTCTCATTTTCCAAAGAAGCAGAATGGCCATGGAAATCAACTGAATATAAGCCTGCTTGATGCTCAGTACCTTTGAAAAGGTAGGTTGTTTAAATATAAATATGGGTTTAGAAGCCTAATTTTAGGTACTTTTTAAATATCTTGACCAAGGATAAAAGGCAGCACTGTTTCAGTATGGCTTACTTTGATATCCCTCAAAAAAGGTAGGAGGTCTGGCTAGGTAAGATGACTGAAGCTGTCATTACGTTTAATCTTTCTGCTTTCTTAACATAATGAAGAACTAGCAGGTATTATACTGAAAGTGCTTTTTTCTTTGGAATACTTGATTTTCTATTGTTGTTCTGTTACTGTATTGAAAAAGTGAATGAGGTACCTATTTATGCTGTGCTTTCACAATCATTTAAAAGAGAACGGAGAGACAGCAGTAAGTTTGTGCTTTATGTGAGAATCTAGAAGTCAAAGATGTTTTAGAAGGCCTCTAGTTTCTGAAAAGAAAGAGGTGGTATAGAGGACACTCGATATCTTTCAGGTCAATGTCCTGCTGGTCAGCAGGTCACAGAACAGCAATTAAGTTGCCTTCAATTCCATTTCTATGAAAAGATCTAGGGAAAATACCAAATGAAACTAAAGGACTTGGGAAGAAAACTGGGCCATTTATTAAAATAAAATTATGCATAGCTGGAGGAAACAACAAAAACTTTTTCGTTTTGTTAGCTTTCTCCTCCAACACTTCCTGAATACAATCACTGTAAAATAAGATAATCATCTGTTACACTTTATTGTTCGACAGGATGTGTTAAACCTGTGTCCCTAATGACTACAGTAACACCTGCTGCTAAGGCCATGTGAACATCTGAATGTAGCCACCAAGCTACTTGTGACTCCAGTTCGTTTCTTCTCTACAGATCAATATGAGAATCTTATGGATCAATTCATTTCCTTTAGTGGAGCAAAACCCAGCATGCTTCACAACAAAAGGCAGATATAACAAGCAGCTGTGGTACTTACATATAATTCCTCACAAAGAAATGAACAAAGGAATGCCTTTTAAAAAAATATGTTGGTCTTCGTTATTTTATAGCATAAAATTCATACTCACATCATTTGTTCTGTTCATTTCTCTATGGGAAAGTATGACCCAATCTGCTAGAATATTTATGTGTTTGGTAAAAAGCACTGAAGTTTCGCTTCCCAGCCAAAAGGTCTTCAGAAGAACTGTCTGTGGCATGACTTGCGGATGCTGTGAATTGGCCCCTTCAAACAAACTGTAAAAAAAGAAAGTGAAAAAAGCTGAATTTTCATGCCACTTTGATTACTCTAGTTACTAGACAGGAACCTTGTCTTCTGTCAAAACACACAAAGGTTTGGCAATTTTTAAGTATAGAAAGATCAGATACAATTTGTGATGAATAATAAGTAAAATAATGATGACTATTACAGTCAAACTGTAGGAATTCTAATATTGTGCTAATATTATATAAAGTACAGGCAGAGCAAAAACAAGATTTTTTTCGTACTTCATAAATCAAAGAAAGATAATTATCTCCCTAGCAAAAGATAACATTTAATTGAAAATTTTAAAAATATCAGTAGGTTCAAACTCCTGCTCGTCTACCTTAAAGAATGAAAACTGAACTACTGCAAAGTCAAAAACGCAACTCTATTAACACAATTAAACGCCTACTGAAACCTGTAATACAGTCAAATAATAAGTTATGAAAAATTAGAGACCTTAAAACAGAATTAGAACAAATTTTTAATATCTTGACCAGGATAATACAATACAAATTGCAATAAGCAAACTGAGAACTGAGAAATACAAAAGGAAATTCTAAGCAATTACATCTCTGTGAGAACTGTATCTTATTACAGACATACTCAAATCAGGATACAACCCACTGTAAACAAAAAAGTGCATGTGAAATTGTGAAAAAGTCATAAGAAAGAATTATCCCATAAAACCCACCTTTTTGTCAGAAACTCTACTTCAGCTTTTACTAAATCAAAGAAAAACTTCAATAATGTTTTGTGAATCATCCTCTGTTCATCTACTTGTTCTGAAACTGAGACTGCATGACAAATGGTTTTGCAATAAAGGCAGGACCTGAAAAATAAACACCAAAAAAATCCATTTGTATGACTAAAACGATATTCTGATTTATCAGCAAAAAAGGCAGTTTTGACTTTTGACAACTTTGACAAGTAAATACCTTGCTCCCCAGCAACATTCATCATTTTAAAGACAAACTTTTATGGTTTTAAAGCCAAATTTTCAGGAAAAAAAATTAACATGTTTGATACCGGGGCTTTGTGTTGTAGATGAATATTTTATTTATAGTGTAAACTTAATTATTTAGCTGTATTAAATTTTTCTGTCTCTACTTGAGTTACTGTACAATTACCGAATGTAACAGTACTTAAAAATCCTGTCATTACAAGGTAGTCTAGTATTATAGACTAGTAATATATAGTATTATTAGTTTAGACAACAGTTCACAGAGATACTATTTGACAGGAATACAGTTTCTGATCAAATCTAATGATTGTCTAACAAGATGCAGATGATTTTGAAGTTAAGTGCAGAATATATTTTTGGATAAAATTTTGACTATCGGAAGGAACACAAACGAAAGAAAAACATTAGATACGCATCTGCTGGGTGTTCATATTCTGCCAGTAAGTACTGTTAAGGGCTTAATCTCAAAGATAAATTATTTCCCACTCTAGTGGCAAGTGACATGTTTCTAATCAGAATGGTTAAATGTTCAGTGACAAGGATTCAAATTCAATGCCTTTCAAGACTAAGAGCATGTTTACAATTAGGTATTTATGATCACTGTTATATCAAAGTATTTAAATATTACTTAAGATGATATGATGGCAATAAGATGAGGTACAGCTCCTCTTCCAGAGGAACAAATGAATTAATTTCTGTTCAAGCAAGTCACACACACACACACACACGCACGCACGCAAAGAACAGAGTAGCAACCCAAACAGCTGATATATGCAGAGTCTTATACTTCTGGATGCATAGAATTTAGTAAGACTTGCTGAACAAGATTGTAAAGTTTATGATTAAAATAAAAACACAATATGAAGCTTCATGTTTGGCAAGATAAAACTGGAAGTTGTTTCACAACTGCTGAGAGATACATACAGAGAGATATACAGACACACATACACCAGCACAGCACCAATACATATATTATTCTAATTTGTGAAAAGCTTAACAAAAATAAATAAACATTCTATAACAAAAGAGAGGAGAAGAAGCAAATAAACATTTTTTTCCTTTCCAATAAACACCTCTACCTGTGCGCTAAACTGAAACATAGAGTGAAGGGTCCAAACCTCAGTTACAACACTAGACCTTCATGGACAGTTAACTTATCCTCGTGAAAAAGTCACTTCAGTACAATAGAATTCCAGCTATCCTTCCCCTGCCCCAATCTGAAGTAAAATAACACCTATGAAATACCTCCTTAAATCTTCTTACCTGACAAGCATCTCTATCAAAGACCATGTGCCTTTTTTACAAATAGGACACTGGAGAAGGTCCAAATAATACCTTAACGCAGAAGGGGACTTCCAAGGAGGATCAAGTTGGAGAACAAGGTATAAAATGTGAAGAAGTTTAGCAGAAAATATTTTATCAGTATTTCCCTGTAATAAAATGAGAAAATAATATTGGCTCCATACTGGCCAAAGATCTCTGATCACTAAGAATGCATACATTTTATTCATTCCTCATAATCCCAAGTGACCACATTTAATTGTGATCAGTTAAGTAACATGCAATTTAATGCAAAACTAGAAGCAGCAAAATTCAGGATTTCCGTAAGAAAGAACGAAAACAAGCACAGCTTGCACTACTGTGGTATTCCAGCATCATTGCTTAGAATAAACCTTGAACTGAACTCAGTATCTGTGGCCTACTAGCTTTAAAAAAAAAAAAAAAAAGTCACACACATGATGTTTCTCAAAGCAGTAGAAAGAATTAGAAGTAGAAAGAATTCTGGGCTGGCTGTTTCACAATATTATTTATTAGTCATAGGAATGTAGTGCTCTAAATAAAAAATAAACAGGTTAAATTCTTCCCTTTACTATAGGCTGCATTAAGGCTAACACATTGATGAATAAGAAGTGAAAGGTTAATACTTCACTAAAAAAAACCCAGTAAATACACTGATGGTAGCAAAGACTATAATATTTCCACTTCTTGGTTTAATATTCGTAACAGTTAAGCCTTCAGATCTCACCAACAAGACATGTTCTAGAAGAGAATGAAGAAGTTGCACAGGGGGTATACAGTACTTTTGACCAGCTGCAAGTTCTGCGATTACATCAGGAAAGAAATACCCTTCTACTAGTCCTTCAAGTATACAAAGTGTACCTCTGGACAGGTCGGTATTTTTAACCTAAAAAATGAAGTATTCTTTGTAAGAAAGAGAGCAACTTAATATAGGCCAAATATGAACAAAAATTAACATGAAATCTCTAAGAAAATGTTGGTAACATAATAAGGCAAGAGAACATTATACACTAAAATTGAAATAACTACTTATAGCCTGATTCAGTAAGTTGGTGTCATCTATAAAGGCCTTCACTCTTACCCATCTGGGTTTTCATTAAAAAGACAGTACCTTTCATAATGTGCTTATCATCTCAGAAGATCTGAATATACTTACCCTTTTAGAAAAACAAATTACAATTTACACACCCAATAACTTGTCTGTAACTTATTCCTGAAAGGTATATAAAGAAGTAAGTGTTAATATTTCCATGCATGCACAGAGTACATGAGACAGTGCATGACTAGAAGAGTAAGACAATGAGCACCACTAGAACAACTTGAGAATGAAAGAAAAATATAAAATCATGAAATACATAATTTATGAGTAAACATTATACATCTATAAACCATATAACTGTTTATCTCCCTAGCTCTCCTATTCCTATGTAGCGTGTCAGAGAAGCAGCTAATGCTACTGATAGTACAGGTATCGATCCCAGTCTATTTCAAAGCTCTAAAGACCTTCTTAATGACACAAGCCTCCCCTCTTATTCTCTGCCATTCATCAGAGCAAAACACTTAACTTTGCAAGCTTTCAGAGGACCTATAAGGATCTAATAGCTTTCATGAAATGCTATATCTGCCTTGCAATTTCCCTGTTATCATCCGTACTTTCAGCTTTCCAAACCTTTACTTCTGTAGATTACTGATATGCAAGAGAAGCTAGTGAAGATGTTCTCAGCTACACTGCTCCTCTGGTCCAGGTTCAAGCTAAAGTGAAGATCTCCAAGCCAGTTGCAACCATACTACTACCAAAGCACAGCTGCTTGGTGCCTGATAATTTTTCTGTCTGAAATACAGCTACTTTGCTGTGGGCTGAAGCCAATGAGAGCCAGCATATAAACAAGCATGGTGAATGAAAAAGTTTAGATCTACAAGCAAGTCCAAGCCTCAAGCAACCAGGCCAATACAGATACATTCATAGAATTCCTATCCGGACAACACAGCCTGAAGCTCTGGTAAGTTCAAATAAACTGGGATAAGGAGCCAAAACTGTGAAAAGCGGAGGCAGGAAGAGGAGACAATTGAACTGCTGGGAATTAAAGGATTACATACATTTATTATTGGTTTAGTCCCTAACACCTTGAAGACTTTAGGATCTTTGCCAAGAAACTTGGTTCCTAAGGCACATTAGACACAATGCTACTGAAGACATTCTACTAATTGCTTTAAAATTAAGGAAAAACATAAACTTTAAGTCCAACTGAGGTTTTGAGCTCAACAGGGTAGACTGACATTAGCAAATTCTCTTCCAAAAATGTTTTAGTAATAGGCTAAAGACTTTATGAGATCAGGTTAAACTGGCTGAAAGACAGCATAATCATAGTTAAATCATAGCTAAAGTGTCTCAGAGAATGAGCTCCACATCAGCTTTAGATACTTGGTTTCTTTGCAGAGGTATCATTTCTGAGATTCCTGTAGTAGATTCTAATGCATACCAGTCTTATATTAATGATAAAAAACCCTGCTCATCCGGACAATTTGCTTTTAACCAGGTCTTTGTGCATATGGACTATGCAGCTCACATTTATTTCAATTTTCTCATTTATATATGCACTATTAAAATCTCCACAGTATTTCCTTTGGAAATAATGGTAGCATTCATACTTCTGTAATGTTAATCATATGCAAACAGCACATCTAAAGGGCAACCATAAACTGTTTAATGGCAGCCAAAGAACAACTTCTCCGTTGCATGGATTTTAGATGTGTGAAGATGACTTAGTATATTGTGCACTGATGAGCACATTACTTCTGGCCCTCATTTGGTGATCCTATCACTATCTGTCTTTTTATATTGTGATTGAAACTTACATCACTTGAAAATTCTTGTGCTACAACCAGCAACATCCACACGTTATTTGGAAAGAAGCACACTGAAACAAAGCTGTTCAGAAGAGCGTGAGGCCTTTTGCATCACATTCAGGACAGGAAAGGAGGGGAGAACTGTTTTTCATCTTATTATTAATGCATAAGGAAAGACAATATAAAACTCCTCTGGTGGACTTTTCTCAGTAGCAGGATACCTCTTTCTTAGGGTCTTTTAATTTTTGAAAGTACCGAAGTCACCATATAAAGTACAGTAGTTAATATCTGCTAGGTATAAGTCTTTTCAAGTGTCGAGAGCTATTGTTTTAACAAACTATCCTTGAACACTTTATTCTTAGTACTATAGCTAGAAAAAGGGGGAAAAATTGGAAGTATTTATTTACTTGACACATAACAAAGAATTAATAAGAACTGTTACTGATCTATAACTGATTTATGCCATATAACTGGCTTAAGGGCAAGAAAAATAACAAGTGAACTAAATACTTTAGAAAAATGAAATTTCATCAAAGTAACTACAAAAAAGGACTGGAAAATATAATCCGCCATATCCTACTTGTTTCAGGACACTCTGTAGCCTGTTTGATGATGTTTAAAATTTTTGCTGTAAGAATAAGTACTGTTTTTTTCTATAGTGAGACAATCTTAGCTGAAAGTTTGTCCCTACTAACAAAAATGCATGAGCACTGCAAGAAGCAGCATATACTTCTCCTTCATTGCTATTGCAAAAATACAGTGCTTGAATAATTTGAGATGCTCTAAATCACATCAGGCCATATTTGTTTCTTTTCTTCTAACAATAACAGGTAAAGCTCTCTTAAGCAGTAGTATTAACGAGTTTCTTCAAGATAAAGAGGGAAGTACTGAAAGCTAGAAAGAACAAATCTTGACATACAACCACAACTCCAATGAAGTTCTATTTACCTCTTCAGGTTTTTTATTAGACTGCTGGGATAATCAAAATATTTTAAAATGCTTATTTGATAGCTAATTTTGCAATAAAAGTGTGTTTGTCTAACCTCAGAGTAAAATCCTTGTACACAACATGCCCTCTTTGCAAGAATCCTTACCTCTGGATTGCATTCATTCAGCTGGTCTATTTGAGTAGACTTACGTTTAACAGTCTGTAAAACAGGATAAAGACAACTGTACATTGGATACTAACAGACATATTCTATAAACGTTGTATTTAAAACAAAGAATGTTAGCTTTTTTAAAGCATGACTCAAGCAAAAAATTCAACATAGCAGTCTACTTAAATTTATCTTTTTAATATTTAGATCACAAAATCATGAAATAAGAGGACTAGTGACCTAAAAGGAAAATAATATAGGCAATTTTTATCCTTCTTAGTTTTCCTTGTTTAAGCAGTTGCTATACAATGACAGTTTTATTAGTTTTGGTCTACTTATATAAATGTTAGTGGTTTTAGTCTTTCCACTTTTCCTATGACAAAATATAGATTTTGGATTCATCTTGCAAGTTGACTGAGACCTGAAGATATGGCAGTAGGTGCAAAAACGTATTACTACTATAGCTACCTCTAGTTATAGCTTAGTGTTATGATCGTATTTCTATGTATTATCAAAAAAGCCTTTTAGGAGAGTTTGTCCTCAGGATTATGATCACTCCTTCTGCTCCTATTCATGTTAATAGTTTGAGGGAAAAATAATCTGCAAAGTAGTGCACCTGTTCTACGTACAATACAATAGAAGTTAAGGATGCATTTACTTTTTAAAGGTCTGGAGGCAATGGTCTTGATAAAATGTCATAGATAAAAGACGGGGCATTTGAGGGCATACATTTAAGCAGCTGGTGCGTTCAGCTCGTCAATTTTGTTTTTATATACTAAACATTGAGCACTTAGAAATTCTAATTCTTTTGCTACTGAGAACTTATATCAATATCATAACGGACTTGATTCTGCAGTTACAAAATCATATCTTGTTCTCTGCAAGTGAGCTATAAGAATACTTACACAACATCATTTGGAGTCAGTGTAGCATACAGAAATAATATACCCTGACTCAAAGCAATTAATTGTTCTGTTTCTAGATATGAAATAATGCTTTTAATTGCTAATGTTCTATGTTTATCATGATTAGATATGTGTCAGTATTAAAATGAAAGACTGCATTTAGCTTTATTTTCTACTTGTAATAAAAAAACATTCATATGAATCAACAAAAAGTTTGCTTGCTCTAGGATATGGTAGGTTTTAAAAGCTTGTTAGTGTAATTTAGGTAGATAACAGACAAGTCATTGAAAGACTATCATCTGATATAACATTTTGTTGGACAATACTAGCTATTTTTTATCTGATATAGTACACTGAAATTGCAAATAGCCCACCATGTCTTCCCCATGCCCATGTCGACCACTTGCCCTACTAAATTATATTTTAGTTAATGGCAGACTGTAGTAAATAGGGTATTAAACACTGCAGGCTAAAAGGCATTATTACAATTTCAGAACATTTTAAAATATCTATTATCTATAATGAAAGATAAATTTAATTATATGTATTTTACATTTTATGCTAAGAAAGTGTTACCTACCTGAGCAAAATACATATGTTTTATCACAGCATTTTTCATTTCAACAAGCTGCATGTTAAACATGATTTGTTTGGTTTCTTGTGCAGCTAGAAAATGATTCATTTGGATAACTTCAGTATTTTGTATTTCCTTCTGTGAAGAGCAAAAAAAAAGTCATTATTTTTTAATTTCAAATAGCATAGAGAACTAATGCTCCAAAACAGCTTTATGTGCCATATATCCTGCTGTAAACTCATGTGTGCACATGCATGCTTATGTATTTTTCAAGAGTCGACATTACACGCCAGATAAAACAGCTGTGGAAACAAATCATTAATGTTGTAGGTAGTTATAGCATAGGCACCATCAGTATGAGCTTCCCCATAATTATTTCTCTAATTGACTCCAACCATGGTGCAATCTCTGTGACTGAAATGCAAGCTGAGTTTCTATAATGGATTTGTTCTTTGGACTTTTAGAAAACTAAAACCAAACTCCATGCCTTTTCAATTAAAAGAAAGCATAATAAGGATTTTTTAAATACAATTTTTCATCAGTTTGACTAAGACCAGACTCTCATTTCATAACAGCCACTACAATCCTTTCAGTTCTTGTCTATAAGGATGGACAAAACTAGTAATTTAAATCTTATAAGTTCTTTATTTTAGTTTCCAGTTGTTTCTTCAGTATAGGGAATGAGCAAGTATTTCTCAAACTGTTCTGTAATTCAGACTGAAACCAGACACACTTCCATAGAGAAGACTCTCAGCAAAGCCAGAAGGTAATTTTTGTTACTAAAAAGTAACTCCAAATTGTATTTAAAAATTATTTCAATAATTTGAACAATACATTTTGGTAAGGTTCAATATATGTTTTAATTAAATGTACATAGATTAAGAATGAAGCATCATCATTGTTTCAGACAAACAGACATAAAAAATAGCCTCCTCTTGGAGTGTTAGATGTGATCACTAGGACTGTAGATACCGCTGCAGGGTCACCCTTAGTCACTGTACTGAAGGCCATTTTTTTTCAGAGCAGGTACGGAAGGATTTTATACAAGCATAGTGAAATAGATTTGCTTGGGGTGGCTTTTGGCCATTCGACTTCAAGCACCTAAATCTAAAGGGTGACTTCAGGTACTGTATGGAAAGCAATAGTAGGAAATAAACACAATGGTGGTTGTATTGAGAAGAGGCAAGCCATAAACATTCTATACTTTTAAGAGATTTTCAGTGTAAAGCTTCAAAAGCTGCATGTATTTCATTCTATTTTCAGATGTTCCCTTAAATATGCAATTCAAAACAAAAATATTTGGCATGAGCGTAACTATACATTTTTAAACAAATAATGAGTTTGTTGCACTTTTACAAAAGTGTAATAAATCTTTCGGTAACTTGAGAAGAGCTCTGAATAGCTCTTGATGAGCCAAGAACGACTAAACTCCTACTGAAGTAGGACAGAAATTCTACTCTGAGACATTAACTAGTCTTTACGTCTTGTGGCACTTCTGCATTATTTTCAATATCCTTCTAAAAATACTGACATTCAGACAATATACAGTAACCATCTTGCCAAAATGCTATAAATTCCAGTGTGCACTCAACAAAGCATTTGAAGTCTGTGTTTAAATTTGAGAGCAGCTCCCTAAAATCATGCCTGTGCTTTAACATCTTGAACCAATACATTTGACACCTTATAGGATCAAGTCATTAATGAGTCTCTCAGAGTATTTTAACACTAGAAGTTATGCCATTGAGATTACATGAACAGATCTGAAATACAAAGATGAAGCAATGTGTTCATACAAAACAAGTGACAGAATAGTCTGAAAGGCAATGACTATAGCAGCTCCACTGAAATAAAGAATAACACTGCTTTGCTGAATTCAATATCTGGTTTGAATACAAAGCCTTAGGAGAAAATGTGTGTGTGTATGTTGCAGGGAGGAGGGTATTTATTTTTGCTAGGAGTCAAGTAGCAGCTCTACAGACTTACACAGTTGGAGAGTTCTAAGTCATGTCCTAATGAAACATGTGCCAAGTACTTCTTGGAGAAAGAGACAGGAGTGTGTTCATGACATTTGTTGATAAAGCCTAATATATTTAGATAAGTGTTGTGATCTGATTGCCTATGTTTTATTCTTTTCCTTATAAGAGACTAAGAGTCTTGGCAGTTTTCTGAGTTCTTTAGATGCATTTGAATAGAAAGCTAATGCTCCCCTTGCCTCTAAAGTGAATTACTTAGTAAAGTCTAGGAAAAAAAGATACATGCAAGTTAATGAACTGGTTAAGACAGAACACTGTTATCGTACCAGGGAGGAATTCAGGGTGCACAGCAAGAAACACTTTATTCTCACAGAGATCAGATGACGTAGTCATAAATACTTGACACATTCTTCTATTAAATATAATATGATGTCTAACTTAGCCGAAAGGTGAAATAGAAAATAGTTTCCCTGTAGAGGTTTCATTAAGAGAGTAAGTACTAAGCTGAGATCCCATGTTGATGTGTCTTATTTATAGAGGATGTAAACACTAAGACCTTTCAACACCCCCTTCAACCTTTTCATAGAACTCTACTGATCATTAAAATGCAGAGAGGAAATTTTCTCTGCATTTTGGATCTGGGAAATCCAAAGGATTTCAGGTTAAGTATGTTATTCCTAGCAACAACTCTGGCTTTAATTCCTACTTGCTCATATAAGTAAGGTTTTCTATTTAGCAGCTGACTGTAAAGTCACCCCATAGTCTGAGGAGCTCACAGTTGAAAGCAATCTTCTGAGTCCTTTGAGTATTTCCACGTCAAAATGCTATGAAGATTATCATCAAATGCAGAAAGTCTGAATAGTGCATCTGACTCTCCTGCTTGGTCAGCTATACCTCCTAATAGCTGCAAAGGACAGACACCTTCTACTGTATCACAAATGCGATCTAACTAACAAAGGGCTCAAATTTTTGATTTTCTTGAAACAATCAGAAGACTTGGAAATAGTGAGAGTATACAGGAATTCAACACACATTTCAGTAAAAACAAAGGCTGGTTGCCTCTTCTTGCTTGTAAATAGCAATTTTGATATTTGTTTTTTATTTTGATTAAATTCTGTTCCTCCAAGCCCTCAAAGCTTTCGGTTGGTATTTAGAATTTAGTTGCATCTGTGTCTATTGCATGAGCTTCTAGTCAGGCCACAAGGTCATTGTTTGGTGCTCAAGTTGACAAACAACTGAATATATCTGTTCCAGAACGGAGAGGAGAAAGTATACAGTAAAGAAAAGAAGAACGCGTACCAGGGTCACGGTCTTAACCTGCATAGGATCACTCATCAAAATGATCTGTAAGAAAAGATAATGCTGGTCTTGGTAAGCAAAGGACTAGGAATCATAAGGCATCTCTCTCTCTCTCTCTCTCTTTCACAGGAAATTGTAAGAATAATTTCTAGTTCTAGGGAATCTGCACACACAGGGAAATTCACTTAACAGTGGCATGTCCACTCATCAGTTCAAATGGGAGACTGAAATACAATCAAGCTGTTTTTCTTTCTTTGCCTTGTCTTTTTGCATCACAGTGCATTTAACTTCTGTTCCATTTTGGCTGAATGGTAAACCTAACACTGAAGAATCTGAAGTTGCACTGGATGCCTCATCTGGCTAAGTCATTCCAACCAAAAACTCCATCTCTCTGGACAGATGATTTTTAATATGGTTTCTCTCTTCAAATAAAGTACCACATCTTATATTCAGATCCTCATGTCTTAGTGGATCTGCTGAAATACTGTCTCATGTTCTGGTTCAGTTAACAGAAGAACACTCTATTACAAGGGCTTCGGAGTGAACATAGAGCCTGCATTCTTAAGAATTTAAGTTTTGACTAGTAGAAGAGAATGGTTTTGTCAGTAATGGCAAAAGGTTTTCTAACATGGAAGAAGTCAAAGTTGAGTGTAAGTCTTTCCATAACTTGGGCATCCTGTGATTTTGAATCCTAAGGACTTCTGAATATTTTCTGAAATGTAGACAACTATGTCACTCCTTTCTGATTCCACAGATGAGAATGGAGAAGCATTACAGCATATAGTCTGCTGGTAATGTGAGAAGTTCTTAACAAGAAGTCCTTGGCACGCTACTCTGTTTTCATAAGGTTGCATATACTGTCCTTTAATTAAAATCTATTTAACTTTACTTGCCTACAAGTATGGAACGATCCCTCCACAGTAATGGAAAGCTGAAGGTGTGCTCAGATAGCAGTTCATACACCTGTTTCAGGAAATGAAAAACTTGCATTCTAGCAGCATCAATCTCAATGCATTGGTTGAACAGGGATCATAGGTGAATAGCTTATATTAGATTCCTAGTATAGAAATATTGAGTGAATTTCTGCTGCCCAGTATACAATCCCTTTTTATAGGATTCATGTTACAGCCACTGATTTTTCCCAGTCAAGGGTTGCTTGGGTTGCTTAGTTGCATAAATCTTAATGTTTTAGCATAATTTCTAATGTTATGAATACAAGGTAAACAATTGAGATCAGTTCACAAAAGAAGTAATTAAATTGATAGTGAGGCATGAAGATATGAGGATACCATTTTAACGGATGTTAATGGTGTGTGTCAAATCCAATACAAAATATATACACACACATATATATGTATTTGAAACCATTAACAAAATAAAGAGAATATAGAAGAAGATCCGCTATTTTTCTTGTGGTGTTTTGTGAATAACTAGCTAACTGTTTAATTGGTGGTCAGCTACACTACTTTCAGGTACTACTCTGGAGCAGCTACTGGAACTTCTTCCTGAAGTCTGAACCATTTTTCCAGTAGTAATAACACAGAGCTGGAACCAAGGAGGAGTACAAAGAGGAAGAAGAAATAAAGTATTCTTCCTTGGTGTTATTTCTACTGGTCTAAACCAAAATATTGCCTTGGGAGAGACAATTTTTCTGTTAGAAAGCTGTTTTATTTTTAACTAAATTTCAAAACATCCAGGTTGACTGTATTCCTCTCTAATATAAATGCCATATAATATAGTAATCAGTAAGGACGACATAAATTGCTAACGATGCTAATGAAAAATGAATTTTAGGTATGTTTTTTAAAATTACTTACCTCAAAAAGGTAATCTCCTAGATACCGCACAGGGTAAAACTGAGCTTCAAGGAGTTTTTTTTCTGTAGGAAAACTTTTATCATCGATGAATATATGAGTAATATCTCTCCCTGCATTTTGAGATGAACATACAGTTGCCTTTCCAGCTTCTAGAACTCTAAATAAACATACATTTGGAAAGATGTATTTACTGCATTATATTAATATTGCTTAAAGCTACGTTACTGTTCACAAACTACAAGCATGCAAGTGCAAGAGAATAAGGGTTCTAGGTGTGTGACATTATGCATCCCTCATTAAAAGGGCACTTAAGAGCCTTGAGCAAATGAAGGAATCCACTGATACATATCTGATAGAAAGTTTCTGAGCATTTTTTTTTCAGATATCAAATTCTTAGATGACCACAGCTATAATTTATTGTCCTCCACGATGATTGTGGGTTAATTAGTGGGTCTTTCAATTAAGAGTTTTGCCATAATCAAGGGGTTTACCAAAAGCGGAACACCGCTTTTCTGAATTGTAACATGGTATTTTCATATTGCAAATACAGTCTTTGAGTTCATTTTAGAGTCATTTATAGCATTTGTGCCCCCCAGTGTTATATACAGAAAACAAATTTGTTTGGGGCAACATTATATGTAAAAGTTTCCTCAGCGGGAATTTCCAGAGAGGTACTGCTGCAATGATTCATATTTTTTTAGAAAAGATGTCAGACAAGATAGTGGAGGAAGAAAAAAGGTCTTCTGAATTGTTAAATATATGTTCATTTTTCAAAATCCAGATATGTAAAAAGAAAAGGATGCTGGCCTCCCACGCTTACACTACCAATAGGATGGGATTCATGGCAAGAAAAGCATAAAAGGGAAAAAAGCCACACTAAGTACTAGAGAAAAAATAAATCAACCTTCTCTCAGTGCTGCGGTAGCCTTTATGACTGAAGGCAGTGCTTACTGGAGACAAAAGAAAATCTACCTTTCAATGTTTTCTGCCTGAGTAAAAGGATCCCCACATCAGTATGCAGAAAACTGCCTGGAAAAAAAACAGGTTCCTTCTCCAAAACTCCCTCTTCTTTTGCCTTGCTGATGTAGTTCCTGTTAAAGGTTACTTTTACTGTCAACAAACAGAGAGTTGTGCAAGACAGCATTTCAATGGCATTATCAGGAGGCTTTGCAGAAGCAGTTTTCACTGGAAACAGAGTTTTTCAGAAGTGTAACAGAATGAATGTACCTTTCTGCAAGACAGTACATAGTAAACTCTTCTACTCAGCTAAGGGAATAGCCTACTTAGAACGTCTTCAGTTGACAGAATTAGAAGATGGTAACTTCAGCCGCATCTCAGCTGGTGCTTATGAACTGCAGGCAGGTACTCTGTGATCTACCTTGCAGCTCTGATACCATAATCAGCTGGATACACTGCACTTTCCTGCTTGCCCATGCATCTGTGATGTACACTTTGTTTTCACGCCCTGTACAGAATTAGGGCACACACAATGTATGCATGATCAGACCCGAGAAGTGCTCCCAACTAACTAGGTTTTTGACAGAGGAGTGGGATAGTATCTTCTCCTGTAGTGAGCAACATCTTGTAATGGAGAGCTCTGTTTCAGTAGCAAATTTTACATAATACACTCTGTTTGTGATTCAAGGCAGTAGTTAAATTGAGGAATCTAGGTGTGTAGGAAGAGTTTGGAAAAAATAAACATTGTCCCAAAATTCTTGCACTTCCAGTTGCTTTCCTCTTCTCCGCTTTTCCTTTGTACGTTTGCCCTTTCCCTTCTGATCTATCTGTATTTACATTGTATCATAAAGATTTGCTACAGTACAAATTAGGGCTTCAGAACTAGGGAGCTGTTGCACAGAAGTGACACAAAGAAAGATCAGGTTAGTCAGAACATGGAACGCATCAATAAGACATAGCTCACAGTTGGCTCAGATTATCCACCCAAGTGAAATAATATATCCTGTTGTGGCTATGATTTGAATGTAACGTGGACAAAATAACACTCATAAAAAGCATAAGCCTATGTACCTTGTCTCACAAAGAAAGTTTCTGCAAGCAAATTACTTAAGATGCAAATATATGACAATGTGTGTTATATTTGACACTACACTGGAAGCAAGCTACAAAATCTTCTTTAAAGATTTAAAGAAGTCAGTGTGCATTTAACACTGCAACCATTATAAAAATGTGTGGAAGTGTATTAACGAAAACAATTCATACTTTGAAGGACTGGAGGTTGTTACAGATCAAATTAACGGGGATGGAAGAAAAAAAATTTGTTCACTTATATGTGTTTTATCTTTCATTACTTCAGCTTTAAGACATTTCCCCCTACCTTGTAATAGGATCCCTTCGTTTATCACCTTCCTTAACAAGGAGGACAACTTTCCATCTGTGGAAGGCCCCTGGAGCACCAGTGTGTGTCAATCCTTCGCGCCATCTTTTAGGTGCAGATTGCATTTGAGGTGAATAATGGGTGTCTTTTTCAATTTTATATCCCCATTCGTACGTTGTTTCATCAAGCCATCTGCCACTTTCGGCGCTATTAATTATGTACTCCTTAGTTAGTATCCACTTTCCTAAAAAGCAAACGAACTGTCAGCCACAGAAGATTTTTTGTGTAGACAAATGGCAATCAACTGAAGATCTAATATAAAATTAACTTCAACCTTTCTTGTGCAAATAAAAGCTGGAATTGTAAGTACCTTTTTAAAAACTTCTTCCTATTGCAAGGTCTCCTTTTCACATTTTGAAATCAAAAACCTCACAATGCCACTGAAAATGATCATCTTGTTTTCTTTTAATGATGAAGGACCTTTTTACCCTTCCCAGATTAAATACTTGCCTATCTTCTCAAAAATCTGCAAGTGGAAGTTTGCAGCTTCCCAGATTTTATTCTTAGGACTTGCACAGAACCTTGCTTAACCCTTTAGTTTGTAATACCACTGACACTTTTACAAAAGTACTAGAACAGATTTGAGGTACACTTGATGGCCTTATATAACATGCAAGAATGCTGTCAAATCTTTTTTTTTTCTTTGCCAAGGGTTTAGTTTCAGTAAACTGAAGTAATATATTAAAATATGATTAAAAAGAGGAATGAATTTCTTTCTTTTATATATGCTTAATATTACTAGCATTGTAAGTGTACTGAGTGCCAATATTAGTGGGATATGGTTTTAGACTTTTTTCTTTCCCCCTTTTTTCTTTTCACATCCTGTTCACTCCTCCCTTGGCTCCACCTCCTCCGCCTCTCTTCTTTCTTCTTTTGCATGTATGCTTTTGATACCGTCTGTAATGATCATTGCCTTTTTCTCATGGTCTCTCTCTTCTTTCAGAATCAGGTCAAGGGCTGTGGTTAGCGCCCTGCTCCTGTATTGAAACGCAACCTACAGAAGATACTGTAAGAGAAATTCACTGGAATTGTGTAAACCTAATTGGTTTCACAGAACAGCAGGGTTGACTGGCAAAATGTCTCAGAGCAGGAGCACAGATGGTACTTCTACATAATCTAGCATAGGTACCACTGGACTTATGACTGAAAAAGGCATGCTGTGTATAACTTATATGTTAAAACCACTTTAATTTCAAGACTTCCATCTCAAAAAGTCAGCTGAGAAGTCCATGAAGACTGATGTTCTTATTAATATTTATGTTTACAGAGTTCTAAATGGGATTAAAGATGAATTGTTATACTTACTTGGGAAAAATCGCATTAGGAATGAACGCTCTCTCTCCATCATCAAGGATGAAAACAATGATTATATAAAAATAGCACCTCTTCCAGAATTAAGTAGTACCAGCTGGTATTGAGGAGTATTTATGAATATAGAAACATGACATAGTTTTGCATTGTCAAGTGGACAATATGTACATTATGTACTCAGTTCAAAGAAAACATCTCCAGATGTCTTAAATCTCCAAAACTATGATATAATATTAACTCAGTATTACAAATTTTATGTCTAAAGTGTCTTTTCTCATGTAAACTTCTACTCTATTTACTTTTTGATCATAGTTAATAAGACACAAGGAGTCATCCATATATCTCTCAATTCTAGCAGCTGTAACTGAAAATAGCTAATACTATGGTATGCAAACGCAAGCATCAGATCAAGAATTTTACATCTAGCTTTAAATCCAAATCAACACTTATCTATTTCTGTCTCCAGTCTCTTAAATCTGAGATTATCCATCCTAAAAATTGCTTTAATACTTTGGTACAATATGATGTAGGAAAAATAGGGATCACATTTAAACAGTTAACAGATCAGCAGTTTGAAATCTTGTAACTTAACATTTTCTGAACTCATCATAAAAGCCTTCCAGGTTCCTGTCTAAAAAAACAACATCTTAAAATACAGAGTTCTTATTTTGAAAAGCTTTAGTTGCATGAGTAAAGCATTTGAGCATCAGCCCTTCGGTAAGAGAAGAGCAGAAGAGGAAAGACTAGAGACTTGCATCAGTAAAATGGCAGAAGTAAGGGTGTGGAATTTTCTGTCGCTGCATAAGCAGAAACTTCAGAGACAGTGATCTTTATTAATGAATGATGTGTGTGAATTTGATGTCAAAAAGCCATGCTAACTGCAGCTGTCCATACTCCATCCACGCCTCTTCAAGTAACCTGTTTTAAAGTACTTACATCATTTGGAATATGACTTTACAATGCAACTGATACGTAACATGGTTTCTGTTTGGGAGTCAAATCAGAATAAATAAAGGAAGATGAAAATTATTTAGGAATAATGCAAAAAACCAGAAAGTACATCCAAATTTGAACGTAGGGCTTTGCTAATAATCAAGACTAATGGAACACAGAGAGTAAGTGTTGGTAAAAGTCAGTTCATGACATGAAAACAGGTAACTAGAACACTTCTAAGGCTTATTTCCTGTCCTAATATTATGATTCAATGACATTTTACAGCAATTATTTTACTCACCTGCAGCACAAGCAGCTAAGAACTTTTCACTCTTGCAAAGCTGTTTTGCTATAAGGTGTGTACAATCTCTGTATTTCTGTAAAAAAAAAAAAGGAAAACAAGAAAACATAACACACTTTTATTACTGGAAATAGGTTAACTTTTTTTGGCTACTAATACACAAATCCAAGCTTCTATATAATCCTTTAAGGCTTGCAAATTTTTTTTTTTTTGCTGCTTTCTCTCACCAGTAGGAGCTTAAATAAAACAATACCTTAGAATCAATAAGCACACAGTCCAGTTTGAGCAATAATTCAAGCAGTGCCTTTTTTTCTTGCTTTTTAAATCCAGTTAACTGGATTATCCGCTTCTGGCCACCACTTGCCATCTGTTAACAGAAAAACAAATGAAGAGGAAACAAAAACACACAAAATCCACGTTATGAAACCCGGTAGGATCTTAGGAGCGCTTCCTGGTCTTTCAGCCGCGCTACCCTGGGACGATGACACACCGCTACCTGCCGCGGTTCGCGTACGCCAGAGGCGGCCAGAAAGTAGGGCCAGAGACGCTCACACGGCAGGTCGCAGGGGGTGCTGCGCCCCTTTGGGACAGACCCCGCAGGTGTGAGCAACTCCGGCCTAC